ATCATGGACTCCACAGCCTCAAAGATACAGCAACTTCAGAAAGCATTTGCTGAACTTGAACGTCACCGCGCTGTAACTCTCAACTTGAAATGGAAACAACTTGAGGAGCATTTTCATGGGCTTCAGAAATCTTTGAAGAGGCGGTTCACTGAATTAGAAGAGCAAGAAAAAGAGTTTGACACCAAAATAGTTGAATCCAAAGAGATTTTGGAGATGCGTAAAGCATCTGTTGTGGCTAAAGAGCAAGCCTCACTCGAAAGGCTTCAAGAGAAGAGAGATGCTGCAGTTTCTGCCATTATGACTGCTCTGGAGAAGAATGGGAAGTCATGTGCTATGGCCTCTGGTGTAGTTAACAGTGAGAACTTAGTTGAGGCACCAGTTATGGAGGCAAAACCACCTGATGCCATCCTTGCTGAGAGTAACATGGATTTTATGAGAAGGCCTTTTGAAAATGGAAATGTGGAGGTGAAGTCTTATCCAGAGCTTATTAAATTATGCCAAGAGATGGATTCAGAAGGCCTCCACAAATTTATATCCGATAACCGTAAGAACCTTGCTACTTTAAGAGAGGAAATCCCTATTGCATTACAGGCTGCAGCTGATCCCACATCTCTTGTTTTGGACTCTCTGAAGGGTTTCTACTGCTTGGAAATGCCACATTCTGATCCCAGAAAAGATTCAAATCTCTTAGGTCTTCGCCGAACCTGTATCATGTTGTTGGAGTGCCTTAGCAGTTTATTAACAAATCTGGACCAAGACTCTCTTTCTGGTATTCTCTATGAAAATATTAAGGAACGGGCAAAAGCTATTGCTGAAGATTGGAAACCAAAATTAGACGATCTTGATGTTGATGCCAACAACGGAAATTCCCTTGAGGCTCATGCGTTCCTACAACTTCTTGCTACTTTCGGTATTAATTCTGATTTTGATCAGGAAAGCTTGTCCAAATTGATTCCCATGGTTTCACGCCGTCGACAAACAGCTGAATTATGCCGTTGTCTTGGGTTGACTGACAAAATGCCAGGTTGGTAACTCTATAATTACCAAGTCAACTGCCACGTTTTAAATGTCTTTCTTCCCTGGTAAGAAGTTACGAGACATACCATATTCTTATAGTAAATGGAACTACAATATGAGCTTCGGTATTGAATTTTTTATATGATATCTTATTATCCATATACTTTATTCTGTTGCCTTGTCTTGGTGTATTTAGGCCCATGATTTTTCCTATTATAGGGCGGAACTCCCAAAAGTATTTCCCTAGTAAAGTTAAATCCCAGAATGTTGTGCCGAATGTTGAATCTTTTTTGCTATAAGGCGATGCAAAGAGAAAGTATTTATGATCCTAACGGGGTTCAATTTGATTCTGTTAATTGCAGGGGAGGGTCCGATATATTGTTTCTTTTTAATCTCTGGATCTTCTGGCACATTATATGCTAGAGAATCCAGGTTTTAACAGGAGGTGAAGATTTTTATGTGCTCTACCTTGTACTGCTTGTCTTTCAGGTGTGATTGATGTGCTGGTGAAGAATGGAAGGCACATTGATGCTGTCAATCTTGCTTTTGCATTTGAACTTACACAGCAGTTTTCACCTGTTTCATTGCTGAAATCCTACTTGTCTGAGGCTAAAAAAGCGGCATCACCATCCAAACCTGGAAATGTGTCACCTTCTGCTGCTGCTGCTACGCTGGTCTGATTTTATGCCTTGATCACTGTAGGAATGCAGTTGATCGTAGTTTTGGTTGCTTATAACTGTCTATCAGTCTTTGTTTGATATGGATATAGTACTTGGCCTAAAGAAGATGGTATCCAGTTAAAATATAATTAAAAATGAACTGCATGGTATAATGAAATATATACGTCCTTCGTTGAATGTCTAGGTAACCAATCACTGTGACTATTCATAAATGACTTGACCTGGCAGCACGTGTGAATAAATATTAAGCCCCCGTTTGGGCCTCATTCTTTGAAACTCATTTTCAACCATATATTCTCCCAATAAAAAATTTTTTTTGCCTGCAATCCCACAACTTTTTTCTACTTTTAACCTCACATTTTCCAAAAATATCTCATTCTACAAAATCTACTATAAAAAAATGAGGCTCAAATAGAGGCAAAGACTGTTACCTTTGGTAGTTGATGTTAACATTCTACCTTGTGTTAAACTGTGAGCTATAGCTCTCTCAAGAAAGTTGGATTGGTTGTTGATACATGAACATCATTACATGATGTAGGCTTATTTTGTAACCATTCTGAAGTTTTGAACTTTCCTGTTTTGTCATATTTAATAAGGTGCATCAGACGGTAATAGATTTTATAAAATAAAAGAAAAATATATATAAAATTTTGTTAATTGTACGTCTACTAAAATCTAATAATGCTTATCAAAGATGCACTCTGAACTTACAATTTCTTAGTTTCAGAATGACGTTAATGAGAAAGAGCTGACTGCACTTAAAGCTGTGATTAAATGCATTGAAGATCATAACCTTGAGGAGCAGTTCCCTGTGGATCCACTCCAGAAACTGGTAGCTGAAATAGAGAAAGCAAAAGCAGACAAGAAAAGGGCAACTGAAGTTGCAAAGCCACAACCCAAAAGACCCCGTGCCAATGGTGTTGGGCATGGACCTCGAGTCACCAATGTCTCTACTGACAAGAACTTCTATGCTAGAACAACAGATAGGTACCCGCAGTACGTTTATGACAGGCAATATGCCTACCCTGGACCGACCGATCATCATGTTCCATCGTTTATGGGTACTGCTACTTACAACTTCTCTCCTAGTCATGGAAACTTCTTTGGGAATGGGTACCAGTACCAGACTGCTGCCTATTTGCACTAATCAAGTAGAGATGGCGCGACCGACTCTGATTATGATCTGTTAACTATTAGGGTTAACCTGTTTCAATTTGTTTAATGTGCAACTTATCACTGAATTTAATGTTTTAAGAAGGGCAAGACAGATTAGCCTTGTTAATTTCTAGTCTGTTGTAAAAGCTGATATTTCGATCCTCTCTAATACATGCACTGTTTCTAATGTTTATATTTCTTCGTTAGTTTGCCTGGCTTCATCTCTCTTCTGTTTCAGCTGTTGGTTGATTGAGCTCACGCTCTACGTTCTTATCCTCCATTGTTCTTGCTGTGATGTTGGAAACTAACGATTTTGAAACAGCAATTCATTGATCTGGTGCAGGGATTAGGCTGTGAATTTTTTCTTGAAATTGGCATGGAGAGAGAGGTGTACTGGTCGGTATGACCTTACAAGTCTTGGGATGTAACTAGTGTCGATACGCGGTCCAAGTTTGGATTTTGCATGTGGGTTGATATAGCTCATTCATCTGGAGAATACTGCTAGGGAGAAGAAGAGGAAGAAGTATGATATACCATTCTTGCAGTCCATGTAACTAGACGGTATAAAATTTTGTTGATTATACTGACTAGTTTTTTCGAATGTGTTTCGAGCTTCTACAAGGACATGTTTAGACAAAGAAAATGACCAAATGGGAAGTTTGATTTCATCGACTTGGGTTACTACGATTACTTGAACTTTAAATTGATTGTAAGGGGAGGATTAAGAGCTTTAATTGAAGGACTTTGGATCTTATCTTACTGTTCAATTTTTTTCTTCTTTTCGAAATTAAATAAAAATAATTGAAATCTTGCTCATAGAACAATAAAAAATGGTTATGATTATAGAGGGACAATTACGCCCGTAATTGTGGTGTAATAATATTTTAGGCTATTATTCATTAAAAACTTTATTAGACAGTGAGCTGGCACGAATTTTCTCAACCATATTATCCTTCAATTTTCAAATTATTGAAGCTACCACCAATAAAATTGTTACTTAGGTTGTGTTTGATACACCACCTTTCCATGGAAAATGGAATTAGTTTTTCATTTTCCAAATTTTATAGTGTTTGATGACAATAATTTTCATGGCATTTGGTTTTTCACATTGGCTCCTCATGCGCGCATGTTTTCTTGTATTTGCTTGAATTGTTTTTCCCACATTTTTAGCAATGGAAATGGAAGTTCTAGTTTTTTTTTTTTGCAATGGAAACAAATTCCATAACTCATTGTAAATTTTTTTTTTTTCACTTTAATGGACAATTTTTATGTAAAACAAAGTCAAATGAACACTAAACTTTGATAAAAAATGATTTTCTATGAAATATTTTTTTTTGTTTTTACTTTTTGTAAATGGAAACAAATTTTATAACCAATTGTTAAAAAATTATCACTTTAATGGACAATTTCCATATAAAACAAAGTCAAACAAATACAAAAAGATCCAAAATTTTAAAAATTTTCAGGTGGAAAATTATACCAATCAAACACACTTAATTAACAATTCCCTGAAAAATAAGTTTTAGGTAATTACTTTATCTGAAATTTATTTGATTTTAACTTATTTTTTACCTTTGCAATCAAACGGATCCTTACTATGTTATATGTATCGAATTTTTTTTAACAAATCTCTTACGGACTACTCACAATATGGGGGTGGAGATCACATCTTTGGATTTTTTTTATTTATGTGGGGTCCGCGTGTATATGAGAGGGGGTAAACAATTCGGTAAATTTTTTTTATGTATATCTTTATCCGATTAGTATATTCCGCTCATCCGACAGTACACACTGCTCATAAAATAGTACAGTTGTAAATGGCGCCACATCCAATCATCTCTTTCTTATCAATACAATCCAAACTCTCTCTACTCTCTCATGGAGGCTCTCTCCATTTGCTTCCCAGCTTCTCAATCTCTCCTAAACCACCGTAAAACCCTAAAATTCACGTCCAAATCCAATATTGGCCATTCGAATTCACTTCCCACCTGCAATTCCACTTCCAATTTTACCTCCCAGACCTTTAGTTCTTTGCATATTTGTTCCTCTAATCACCAACTAAAGAGTACTTCAAAAACCGAACTCTTCAATCTTTTGTTCAAAAATCTTTCTTTTCTCAATTCCCAACAATTGTTTCTTAAACCCAACATGAGTTTTCTTTTTCTTGGATTCTCTTTTCCGCTTTCTTGTCTTGCCTCAGAAATTACTGCCCCCCCTGAAGAAGTGTCTAGCAAAATTAACTTAGAAGCAATTTTGGTTTCTATAGACAATTTTTTCAACAGGTACCCATTTTTTGTTGCCACTGTCACATTCATTTGGCTCGTTGTCATACCCCTAACAGAGGAGTACTTACAAAAATACAAGTTTATTTCAGCCATTAATGCATTTAAGAAGCTTCAGGATGACCCCAATTCTCAGCTTTTAGATATCAGGGACAATAGGAGTTTGGCCTATTTGGAATCACCCAATTTGAAAATCTTGAATAAGAGTGCACTACAGGTTGAGTTTCGTGAAGGAGATGAAGAGGGTTTTGTGAAGAAGGTTTTGAAAAACTTTGGGGAGCCAGAAAATACCACTTTTTGTATCATTGACAAGTAAGTTTTGGAAATATGAAAGTTGCAATTTCAATTTTCTGCAATCAGATTCATATTTGCATTTGACTGAATGGAGATATGGAAGATCACAATTACTTAATATTAGTTATTTTTTTTTAAGTTATCGTGATTGTGCACCGTGAGATAGTTTTTAACCTTTAATTCAATTGAACTAACAGTGTCTGAGTGAAAAAGAATTGTCATTTAACTGGACTTTGTAAGTAATTGACTACTTGTTCTATGAATAATGATCTGGTGAAATGATATGTTACTTTATTTGGATGGTTGTCGAAATAATGTTGATATTATTGCTTTCTTTCTGGCTATATAGATGATAAACATTGCAATTTGCTCTTTCACTGAATATGCATTGTTCCCTGGGACAGTGCAAGATGCATGAAGACCCAAACTAACTTCTCTGTTGTCTCCTTTTATGTGTAAGGTAGTTTTGACGGTAACTCCATGAAAGCTGCTGAATTGTTGGTGAAAAATGGTTTCAAAGAGGCTTATGCAATTCGGGGAGGGATTAGGGGCAAGAAAGGGTGGCAGGTATTCTTCTTTTCCTTCATTGATGTAAATTTAGTTTTTCTGAGTTCAGCTTTGCTATTGTTTGTTGACAAGGCATTGTTAATGCTTGGTCATTTTCTGACTTCAACTATTCAGTGATGGTTAATATGTAGAATATAGACACATTTTTCCTAGTGAAGTTCATATGAATAAATGATATGTAGGCTGTAGACATTTTTCCTAGTGAAGTTCATAAGAGTAAATTATTTTCTAAAAGTATCACGAGGGATGTAACGACTCCTTTTGACTTGAATTTTCCTAACTTTATTGCACATTCGGGTTATATGGTGTTTGACTATGCATTTTACTTGTGAGATTTTTGGTATGACCATAAAGTTCCAAATATGACTTTACCTCCCTTCTAAAAATTGATTACCTAGAGATAAATTGAGTGTGCATTTGTGACATGACTATTATTTGACATTCTGGTTTGGCAGGTGCATATAGTGCAATATTAAGGAACCAAAGTTCGTCATTCATTTTTGCAGATAACTACAAGAGAAAAAGATAAAGTCCTTATTGATTTCAATATGTTGGACAATCTTTATGCAAACATTCAACATGATGAAATCTCCAGACAGAAAGTTTTAAGAATCACTTGTATGAAATATAAAAAATTGACTATCCTGGCAAGCGGTCATGCCAAAGACACTTAAGCCTTGCTGTATGTTATGAGTTCAACCATATTTCATCACATCTAGGCTTATATGCTCTCTCTCTATTGGGAATAGTTTTGCGGTTTCTTGCCAGGGATTGTTAGCTGTTTTGATGTCTAATAATTCCAATTTTTATGGAAAATGTATTTTCTTGGCTCCAATGACCTCGAAAACTTGTACAAGTACCATTGTGCATATCCTGGGTGATCTGGAGAGAGTAGAAATTGGGCCTTTAAGGAGAAAGAATACGCAGTTAAGAAAGAGGGAGTGGTTAGACAATGTTATTGTGGGTGCAGGGGGATACCTTGCAATGTTTCTTCTTTTCATATTTTGTGGGTTCTGTACATGATTTCATAAGACTGGTTATACTCGTAAAATTTGCATCTCGTTGGTACTACTGCTACTAATAACTACTAATTCAGCAGAAGCTTGTCTTGGTTACTGATTAATTTACCAGTTAAGGAATTCTAACTATCATGTAATGGAGTTTGAACAATCTTCATCATATGACTTTATTGTTCATTTTCAAGTTTGCTTTGCTTATTTGCAGGAGATACAAGAAACCCTTCTCCCCCCATCTGTCTGTGTCTATCCGAAGAAGAAAGTAAAATTGTCAAAAGAACTTAATCCAAATGAAGGAGTACATCAACAGGAAAACGATAACAATGACTTTTCTTCCACCTCAAATTTCAGCAACAGCAAGAAAGAGAATAACTATGGTAGAGATGTTAGCTCCATTAATCCCACGTTAAAGTCAAAAGGAGTTTCAAGGCCATCATCTCCCTACCCAAATGTATGAACATACTGCTCTCACTTCCATGTGCGTATATGTGCTCCACCCCTCTATGGTTTTGAAGTATGAAAATAGGTTATATATACATATAGAAATGTTTATGGTTGAAATTCAAAATTTACGGAATTGGTATAGTTTTCAAACTTGCTCGGTAGATAAACTAGACACGATTCCTGATATCGCCATGTATTAAAAGACCTGAGTCTCGGGCCACGGGATTATAAGATTCTGTGTCGGATAACGACAATAGGCCTATGAGTTCGTGTATGTTGCTTTGCAAATTTATGTGTGTAGGCTGTCCGTATAAAACTACTAACAGAGTATATTTATAAATGCAGTACCCGGATTTAAAACCACCATCTTCCCCAACTCCATCAAAGCCAAAAAGTTGACGAAGACTCGGTTGCTCGACTCATCAAGCCTTCTACATATCAGATGCTGCCAACTAAAATATTTTACAAGCTGTCAGGGTTGACGGTTCCCATTTTAAAGTCACGTTTCCTGGTGTTTTATGATGAAGGCCTTGTTCTGCCTGCTCTTTCCTTGGAAAAAAATTGTGTAAAGAGTTGTATTTTGCTGAATGGCAAAATTTTGAGGCCTTTTTCCCATGAATATGCAATTGGTTATTGTTAACATCTCCTTCAACCTTTCTCCATATTTATCTATTTAATGGTTATGGATCCAAAGTGCCACTTTGTTGGGAAAAATTAGGTTGGTGTCCTAACCTTTTACGTGGTGTGGTTATAATTTAGGTTTTTCGTTCTTTACATATATTTAAATTTGTGAATCTGCATCTCGTAGGAAGGAAACTTTCAATTTGGACATTTTACGCACAACTTTTTACGTGGCTTAAAGCTATAGACTAGTCTTTTGAAATATACTTACTTTACTTTTAAGTGGCACTACCTTTTATTTTATAGTTCACTAAGTAGTTACTTAAAATGTCAAATAATCGAAAAAAGTATTTACGTTTTCATTTCATAAGATTAATAAAATACGAATATTGTGTGTTGGAAGACTAACAAATTTAAAAAATTAAGATAGTCTTAATTTCGCAATTTATCATTTCAAAATCATTATTTAAATAATAATTTTTTTGTATAATATGTATAAAAGTGATTCGTTGTTTTGTCCATATACAATTAATAAATTGGACATTGCCATAATGTGTAATATTATTAAATATTTTTGACCTACATTAAAATGAAAAAAAATTAATATACATTTAACAAAATAAAAGCATAATTCACATGGTATAAAATGAATGAATTAAAATAAGGATTGATATTTATATTATAAATAATTGATTAAATTAAAGCAGAATCTGAAAATCTACCCTTGGCAAGGGAATGGCTTTTTGTCAAAAAAACGTACGCAAGTCGCTTAATTTATATCATCGTACTTTTGGTGACACGAGAAAGGCAGAAACGTTCTGAAGTTAAATTTGTGCATCCTCCGATCATCATCTTTTGGGTGTTCAACGAATTTCCCGAACCAACTCCGGCGGCTGCAATGGCTTCAATCAATATCAATGTTTCATCTTTGGATGGGACCCTTTCGGCTGCTGAGTTTAAAATCGCTGCTTGTGCCTTTTCAGAGCTATGGAAAAAATTCAATTCAGCTCTTCCTCAGTGGTCATGGATCCCTTCTTCAAAACGGCTCGGGATTCCCTTCAATCATGTAATTCTACTCGAGAACTCGTACATGTTCCTATCAATTAACTTAATCCAAAAGTCGTACGATTTATTTTCCTTTTTTTTTTCCCTCTCTTAAGGTGGAAGGTTACTTATCAATGGAAAATGTAATTCTTCCTGGTTTTGATCAGGTGGGTTTTCCGAAATCTGCAACTTCAACAATTTTTCATTAATTTTGCAGCCAGAAAAAGAGAATGAAGTGTTCGAAGTTATTCCAAAATATTCTAATGTTTTGTTTTACAGGAAGATCATCATAAAGGGGATCAGATTGAGAAAGAAGAGTATAGTTGCTCCAATGTAGATGAATTTATTGATGATGCCATATTGGTATGAATATCTTCTTATACTGGTTCAGTCTACATCTGCATTATGAAAGACTGTGTGTGCTTAATTGGCTTAGATCATCCGAGAAATCTCCCAGTGTACTAAATGAATGCTAGTTGCCGTACGTCTAGATCTTGTGATTATCGTGTTTGTAGACTTGCTTGTCGTCAAAGAATTTCCTATGCTGATATGATAGATCGCAGGTTTTTGAAATTATTATTATTTTTTGCATATCTAAAAGCATCAGATGCAAATATATCATTAGCGCCAAATAAGAAGTTTCGATAGTAAATTTTTGGCCTCATTTGTTGACAACTCTATAGTCTAATTTCCTTCATTGTCTTGCTAGAAAGGAAAATGATCACGATGTTTCCAACTTTGGGTATAGTCGGGTTATTTTCTCGAAGACATGATTGCAATGATTGGTTTAATTCTTATCTTCATCGCCATTTTATTTCTTTTCTTGCAAGGTTGAAAATTATTGTCATGAAGTAAATCACTATGACTTCCATGTTGTCTACAGCACCTCTTATATGGTACCTGTGCTATATTTTCGTGCTTACCGCAGTGGTAAGTTGATAACCTTTAATCACTTTGGGACAAGAATTTGATTGACTGGTTTTGTGAACATATATTGACAAATTCAGTGTTCAAATAGCATTTGCTACAATTATTTATTTCTCTCAGTTTTTTTATATGCACAATCCCCCTCAGTGGCTATATCTGATTCTGGTTTTATGATATTCGACAGCCATTCCAACTATTTCAAGCTATCTATATGTTCAAGATTGACTATTGAACCTTTTGAATTCATTAACATTATTCGCACTGATACTGTTACCATTTTGTCGGTTTTATGTACGTTAACTAAATGGACTGATTCATTCTAACTCTGTAGATGGACAAACTCTGGTTTTGGATGAGATTGAAAAGGATATCCCTCTCAATTCAGGAAAAATGCTAAGGGAATCCAAGTGGACGTTTATAACCCAGGAGGTGAATATCTCTGTCCTTGTTGTCTTTGATTATTTTTCTCTAATACTTTGGACCTCTATAACTACTATGAACTTATACACTAACTCTTATTCTCCAAGTTTGAGTCTGTTAACTAAGAAAATTTGGCTGCGTACTTTGTAGGAGCACCCTCAATTGAACCGACCTTGGTATACACTGCATCCTTGTGGAACTAGTGACTGGATGAAGTTACTTTTAACCAATGAAGCTTCAATTGCTCAAGATGGGGTGGCAACAGAGAAATATCTGGTGTCGTGGTTCTCGGTAGTTGGGCAGGTATTTGGTCTTAAAATCCCCTTTGAGATGCTGGATAACATTGGTACGTCGTAACATTCTCATGTTGGACAAGATCTGGCTGCATCGCCTGTGTACTATACTCTCTATTCTTTAATTTTTTGCTGGAAGTTGTTTTTGACCTCTCCTAATGTTGGATTAGGGAAATAAAACCGAGTTCGATTTGGTTCCGAACCCCTGATTTTCTTTCTCTGGTCTCCTTTTCTTGAATTTGAGTATTAAGGTTTGTTTATTCTTTGATAGTCTACAATCAATGATTATATCGACTCAATTGGCACTCACTATCATTTAAAGATAATGATTGGCCGTGTCAAATGTTATTCTTGCTACTAAGTCTAGGTGGCAGTACTCGTAGCATTAAAATCATAGGTCTTAGATCCATGATATGCCGACACCTAGGCTGCTGTTCAACCAGTGGTGCTTTCCATCACTTGTTGACAACTGTGGTGCAAGTCAGCATTATCTGCCTTTGCAGATGAGATATCTCCAGGTCTTTTAGCTGTTCAGACGAAGCATGCTAAAAACTCTCTTGTTTCCATCAGCTCCCTTCAATGGAGATTCAATACAACCTTTGCTTTGAATCCAAAATCTTGTACACCGTTTATGGTCTTCTCAAGAGCCTGTAAATGAGAAATAATTCTTGAACATTTGGTGATCTCGGATGTGAAACAAAAAAAAAGTTACAAACGATGATTGAATTGATAATAGAAACTACTGTTAATCATTCGGTAAATGTGGTTTTTATCATTTTATGGCATAAGAAAAGCATTGGAATTAATCGACGGCTTTGAATTGAAACCCTTTGGTGCCTACATTTTTGGCTTGGAAGAACTAGTCTTGGCGCCAGCGCACAACTTTTAACAGAAAAATAACTCTCGAGTAATTCAAATTCTAGTTCAACGATAATTGAAAAATTTTCCATTTTTTTTTCTTCAAACGATAACATTCATGTCATGTTTGACACATAAAATTATTAAATGGAATTGAAAGGTGAAAAATAATTCAACTAAGGCCGAGTGGACACATTGGTGCTGCCACAGCTAAGTATTGAACCCATCTTGAACATAACGGGTATGTTAAAGATAAAATCAGTGTTACAAAAACTAGCCCGATCGACTAGCTCTATAGTGAAAGTTTGAGAATCGGAGTGGTCATAACCTAAACTCGTATACCAAGAAAGCTGAATAAGCATCGATAAAGCGATTCCACTTTGAATTGCTCACAAGTTGATCGAGATCTTTTTTTTAAAGAAAAAATATAGTATATATATGTACGTGTGTCAAAAATTGACCAAGTCTCGACAAATATCATCTTATGTTAATTATAAATACCCCATATATAATTATATTAACTTCTTATTTATCATGGTTGAATCCTTTGACATGTTATCTTTTTCGGTCGATATTCGGTCCGAAGTTAAAAAAACTAATTCAATAAAATATAGATAAATTCTTCTTGCAAATCTCCCTATGTCGAACCAGAACCCCACACATCCTGTAATCCAAATTCTCGTCAATGAGGATAAGAAAGGATAAGGTTTAGAACCCAACTCACCCAATGAGAATCCTGCATCAACTAAACCTCACAACTCAGAACCACAAATTTGAGTGCAAAAGATATTTTTTCACAGTAAGAAATTACACAAACCCCTTATTTCTTTATTACACATTCTTTCATATATTCTTGTTCTTGCTGTGACCAGTCATTCTGAGTTCTAACACAAGTTTCAGATATGGCTACTGCTGCTTCTACTATGGCTAGCCAGCTCAAGAGCAATTTTGCTTCTTCCTTGACTAGAGGACTGGTTACTCCAAAGGGTATTTCTGGAGCTCCACTCAGGGTTCTGCCTTCCGGGAGAAAGTCTTGCTTCACCATCAAAGCTGTCCAGTCTGAGAAGGTTAGAGGAATTACGTCTTGGTTTCATGTCGTTGTACCATCTCATCTAGAAAGTTAAGCTATACGTATATATTTGCTTGGATAAGTTTAGTGTTCAACGTCCATGTAAGACGTGCACAATCTTCATAAAATGGTTCTCATTCGATACTGATGCACATTATCTAAAAGTTTAAACGGTTAGAAAGAGGCTGTAGACGTCAAAATCCTTCTGGGATCTTTTGGCGGATTCGCCTAATTTCTTATAAATACTGTAGTTTGATTGAGATTAACTGGGGATTGATCTTCTTTCACCTTGACACAGCCCACTTACCAAGTGATTCAACCCATCAATGGTGATCCATTCATTGGAAGCCTTGAGACCCCAGTGACATCAAGCCCATTGATTGCTTGGTACCTCTCAAATCTCCCGGCCTACCGGACCGCTGTCAACCCACTTCTCCGGGGCATCGAGGTTGGTCTTGCCCACGGTTTCCTCCTCGTTGGTCCATTTGTGAAAACTGGCCCCCTCCGTAACACACCTTATGCAGGTGGAGCTGGTTCCCTAGCGGCAGCAGGCCTTGTTGTGATCCTTAGTCTTTGCTTAACAATTTATGGGATATCATCTTTCAAAGAGGGTGAGCCATCAACTGCACCTTCATTGACACTGACTGGCAGGAAAAAGGAGCCTGATCAGCTGCAAACTGCTGAGGGTTGGGCCAAATTCACTGGAGGATTCTTCTTTGGTGGGATTTCTGGTGTCACTTGGGCATATTTTCTCCTCTATGTTCTTGACCTTCCTTACTACTTTAAGTAGAGGAATTTAATTCCCTTTTGATGTGTAATTATTCTTAATGTACAATCGAAAAAACAAAGTTAATATCATTTCAAGAATATTGTTCGGTTCATTGTTCCTTGTATTGGAAGATCCAAAGCAACTAGATCAAAACTCGTATGCATTTTTTTTGCTGCCTGATTTTTTTCAGAAAAATGGACACTTGCCCGTTCCCTTAAATATGTGACCACCAAGTGTGCAATTTCTTTTCATGATTAATGATTGATATCCACTGTCGCTGCATCCCAATTATCATCAATTCCTCACTATATGAACCTTATAAACATTATGTTTACTGACTTACTGTAAAAGTTTTTTTTTTTAATCGTTGCATTAGTAAGAAAGTATGTGATTCGCCTTGCGTCAAGCACCTATTCTGCAATAATTATTGCTAAGAATACACGATGACTATCCTAAGCTGCTGAGTTAACTTTTTTAGCATTAAAAAGGGACACCGCCTTGATTGTATAATCTGAAAATTATGTTCATAATTTAAAATTTGAGTAATAATTTTGCAAACTTCAGGTTGCAAATATCACGCAACTATTTAATATATATATTAAATCCATTAGATACAAATAATATCTAAAATGTCGACATGGAAAATAATGGGACCCCATTTATCACCCTAATTAATTTTCAAAAATATGGACCTATTTCTTTCGGATTAAAATCAGATTTTAATTTAAATCAAAATCAAACAATCAATATTAACTAAATCTTTCATGGGTCACACAGCTTTTCAACCACACATTTGAAAAACTTTTGATTACAATCTACTAAAAATCTAATTTTAATTTCCACCAAACATCCACTATAAGGAATTCAATCCGTATTTAACTAGTGATGGTTAATGACCAATAATAAAGAGAACATACATCGTATAACAATTCATTGAATTAAAAAATCTTCTCATTCTTTGTTGAATGTTTTGAATTTTTAATTTCACATTATTATTGATCCCGTGATGATCCAACTGATCATGTCAAACAACAAAATTAATTAAACTTCTAGTTTAATATAAGATATAATTCAATTATACTAATTAACACGTTGACTTTAGAAACTTTAAAAGTTTCTTTTATATTAAGTGAAGAACAAAATGCTAACATAAAATTGGTCTCCTCTGTATCACTCAGCTTGTGTTTGAATCTATTTTTGAAGAGAATAGAAATTTTGGAATAGTGATTGATGTGAGAATGTGTGGTGAAAAAGTGATGAAATTTTTTTGATTTGTGTGTAATATTATTTTATTTGGAGAATGTGTGGTTGAAATGAAGAATGAGAATGAAAATGAAAATGAGAATGAGAAATTAATAAGTGTCAAACGGGGGCTCAATATTGACTTTTATGGAGATTTCATAAAATTACCATAAAACATCAAATCAAAAATGATCATAATTGATTTGTGTTATATTATATTCTTCAAAAATAATTTGTCAATATTCTTCTGAAATATTAAAATCGTAATGTCGTGTTCTTGAAGAACAATAATATATTTATTATTTAAAATAATAAATTGTATAAGAATTCACCGAGTAAAAACATAATTTATATTAGATCGTATTTAATTATGCTATTTGAGAGCAAGTAAAATCTAATTAGAATATATTTAAATAA